TCCCAGGATATCTAGTCAGGTTGTCCACATTATCCAATTATCAATTCACATAACCTTTTTGCTCTTTTCCTTGGTTTCAATCATCCAATCATACACAACATGTAAACCAGTAATTGACATCAAACAAGACAACACAGTTCAGGTTAATCATAATATCAACCATAATAAAAGAAATCATGATTCATGCATACGAGACCATAAAATAAATACATCAGACATCATGCTGCATTTAATACTGAAAAATAGATCAAACAATAACAGACCAACACTGTATCAGACTCGGGCTCTATTGGCAACCTTAATCAATTAAACATCTATAAAGTCATAAAGTACAGTTTAATTATTTATTTAGCTTTAATATCGTGATAGAAAATAGGGTGAGGGGTCCTTACTTGTTTCGAGATCTGAATTCGACTCTACAATGCGCCTATAGGCTGTCCCTAATTTTTCTGAATTTTTTTCAGAAAACTGAAACGCACTACCGGTACCTGCACGTGTCCCAAAAAATCCTAAATCAGACTTAGGGCCCCTTTCGGCCAATATCAGAATTTCGGCACGGCGGCTCTGTCGTGCTCTGACAACAACGTCGCCGCAAGCGGCGGCGATCCGCCTCGGGTTGGCCGTTTTCGGCTGAATTCGGCCACACTTGCATCGGTCCCTACGATAAAACAACCCTAGGGCCCTCGGTGGACCAAAAAATCACAAAAAACTAAGACTTACCAGCGGCGGTGCTTTCGGGTACGGCGGCTCCTCCGGTGTGAGTCGCGTTTTGATGTTTGGCTCCGATCAACTTGTAGAGAAAAGAACGGTGATCACAGTGGTATAAAATTTGCATCGAACGGAGGTCAGGAAGGGCCTCATCGGAGGCAAAAACAGAGGGGGGTCGCGGCGGTGCTGCTGGACTTCGGCTGGGTTTTTCAGCTGTTTGGCCGGTGGTTTGGCTCCGGTTTAGCCATAGACGGACTCAGCATCGAAAAATAAGCCAGAGGGAGAAAATTTACCTCGATCGGCGGTCAGAAACTTCCCCGGTGTGGCGGCGGGTGGCGGCGGCCGGCTCATCCGGCATCTGGTTCTTTTTCTTCGGCGAGGCACTAGCGAATAGAGTTTTGTGGTCAGGTGTGGGTGGGGTTATTTATACCCTTTGCCTTTTAATCTCAACCGTCCATCAAGATTAAATCTGGACCGTCCGATCGCGATTTAATTGGGATTAAATCTGGGCCGTCCATCACGATGCAATCTGGGTCGTCCGTGCCTGATTGAATCTGGGCCGTTCGTACGCGTGAATCTGGGCCGTCCGTGCGCACGTTTGATCTGGGCCGTCTGTGCGCGCGGGAACGGATCTGGGCCGTCCGATCGCGTGCACGGGGATCGCCCACGTGGCCCGTCCCCTAGTCAGCGTTTCCTTGCCACGCGGCGTGTCTTGGTTGGCCGGGGCTGCTGACCGAGCCGCTGACGTGGCTGCTGACGTGGGTGCTGACGTGGCACAACTTTTTTAAATTTCGTTTTGACCATCGGTTTTCGATTTTCTTTTCAAAAACACCTCCATAATCTAAATTTTCACCCATTTTTCCCAAAATCAATTTCAATTAAATCTAAATAATATTTTTACCCTATTTTATCATTATTATTATTTTTATTTTCATTAAATTAAATAAAATTAAATAAAAATCTAAAAATTTCAAATACAAAAAAAAAGGAAAATAAAAATAATAAGAATAAAAATTAAAATACTTGGGTGTTACAACTCTCCCCCCCTTAAAGAAATTTGGTCCCTCAAATTTGCCTCTTACTCTTGGTCGAATAAATGGGGATACTAGGCTCTAAATTCTGATTCTAGCTCCCAGGTAGCCTCTTTGGGCATGTGGTTCTGCCACACGACTTTTACAAAAGATATTTTCCGGTTGTGGAGTATTCTGCTCTTTCGGTCAGTAATACCGACTGGTACTTCTTCATAAGATAAGTCCTCTTAGAGTGAAAGCGGTTCATGAGCTAAGACATGAGAAGGGTCTGGGTTGTACTTACGTAGCATGGATACATGAAACACGTTGTGGACTCTGGAGAGCTCTGGAGGCAGTGCTAGTCTGTAGGCAGCAGTACCAATCCTATCTAAGATTTCAAAGGGTCCAATATATCGGGGGTTTAATTTTTTCCTCCTGCCGAACCTACTAATTCCCTTGAAATGAGTGACCTTAAGAAACACCCAGTCGCCTTTCTTAAACGCTAGGTCTCTCCTCTGGGTATCTGCATAACTCTTTTGTCTACTCTGAGCTGTCTGAATGTTCTTTCTGATTTTAACTATTTTGGACGTGGTCTCCTCTACCAACTCCGGGCCGAACAATCTTCTATCGC